TTCCCCCACCTCTTTCCGCCTCACCTTCCCTTGAGTGTGGTCCAGCTCGGTCACCTCCTAGCACTTGCCACCAGCATCTTGATCGTCCCGCCTGTACGTCCATCAATTTTGAACGTTTCAGGCCAAAACTGAAAGTTTTGCACATGGTCCGCCCCTGCGGGCGAAGATCAGCCCCCACCTACCATAGTTATTCCCATCTTGCCGTCTCTACTTCTACCAAATTTAAACGCCCTGCGTCCACGGGAACAGGGGTTATAAATTTCCGGTCATACACACACATCGACAAATCAACAGAGATGCCTATACCGCCATCGTAATGCAGACGGTCAGTTAGTGCAAAGTGCCTTCTGTGAAAGAAACTTAGAGGATTGGTCATCGTATTCGTCAATTCACTTTCAGAGTTTTGTAAGACCTGTGGCGGAGACAAAGCCATACGACGCCTTCTGACACACACTTTCGACGAAACGAAAAAAACAATTCGAATAAATTGTTCTAATACAGTGTGTTGCACAATCTTGGCGATTTGGGGACAAAGCCCCGGCCTTAGACGGGACTCGAACCCGTGCTTGTGCTGTTCGGACACTGGTCTCTTTGAAATCAGCATTTGAAAACATTTGAAGAGGTATACATCGCATCTTGAATTGAATAGCCCCTGCGACATGTGTCCTCTTATTAGACCATGAAAATGGCTTTAGCATGATGAAGTCACGGCATTAAGCGAACGCAGGTCAACGAGACTGCCGATTATCGAGCAGTCGTTAGTCCGATACATCCTGGGTTTGGGACTGGAATCAAAGGCTTCCTTTACTCGCCTCACCCAACTTTGGCTCTGGTCAAACGACCGGCAAGTCTTGTCGTTCCTTCGAACTCGTTAAGTGGCGAGTTGCGTTGGACCTTGGGGTGCAACAGCAACGTAGGGTAAAGGGCAAGGGAAGCACTGCCCAATGCAATTTGGCTTTATTCATTCAGAAAGTAACCTTTTCCCTTTGAAGGCGAAAATCGCAAAGCAAAACCATCTCCCGGGAGCTTTTAACTCGTGTCTCTTACTGGTAGATTTGTTCGAATTACTGCATACGTGAACGTAAATGGCATAAAGACATAAATGGAAGAGCTATGACAGCCATACGAGCGATGCGAAATGTTATTGATCAACATCTTTTGATCGATATCGATCAGCACTATTAGTATGTGGACACTACAGCATGTTCTTTGAAACCATCGGGTTAGGGTGACTAATATCAAAATATCAGCGATTAGCACCGAATAGTTGGAATCGATCGCCATTTCGAGCAGATGTAATCAATCCATGCATGTCTTCCCACATTTGCATACCTGTTCGAGACCTTTTGAAGCCAAAGCTTTATTTTGCACGTCTCCCTGCTGCTTGTTATCTCTAAAACCATCAACATGAACAGTGTCAAGCTTCCAACCAGTTATAATGCTTTAATATTAAAAATCTGAAAAATGACCGGTTCTTCGTTTGTTTTTTTGCGTGTACACAACGTGCACATCTAACGCAGATCTCAAACATTGTGTGACCATAAAAACAACAATTTCCAACAAAACAGAATTAGAATTGTACATGAATTAATCCATCAACGTGAAAGGAGAACCTAAGACGAATACGCAAAACGCAAGTTGAGCACGCGAGGTCACAACAATTGCCATAGGACAACGGCCGAATTGTAGGCCTCAAAGGACGAGAGAGTGAGGGCGAAAAAGGAGGAGAAAGGATGACGAAAAAAAGTATTAGCAACGGGAAAAGAGTGCAGCGAAGGCGCAGCAAACAGAAACAGAGGCATGTATGAACGAAAGCGGTGTAGAAGCGACGGTGTTCAATAATCGAACGAAACAGTACATATACATCATTTACAGAAGTGGAACTGAGAAATGCAAGAACGCGTGGATCGATTTTTAACACGGGCAACACTAATACACAGTAAGGTGGCTGGGAACCCGTATGTCAAAGCGCCGGTTTCGACGCGAAGGATTGAGAGGGAAATGAGAGAGGATAGGCGGAAATGACTACAACGTGTGAAGAGAGCTGGATTGATCTCTATGATAGAATTAAATATTACACAAATGAATAAGGAACAAAATCTTACAAGTGATATCAGTGCACCAGTGGATCGAAGGGGTCGAACTCGGGTCGGAAGTTGATTCGGTGGAGAGCTATACGAAGAGGCACCTCCAAAAGCGTTGGTGATGAGAGGACAAAGACGTCACTGATATTCCGGACCGAAGTCAGGAATATTAACATCTCGATAGCCCTTCAGCCAATACGTCGTTAACCGTCCTTTACCCTTCATCTCGACTTCACCTCGTAGCTCTAATCGGAAACCCGTGTCTTTGCTAAGAATCTCTTTCGTTACCGACGAGACATGAATCCGCAAAGCTGAAAAAGCGAATAATTGAGCCCGCTCAATTTCATTAAGAAAAGGGAGAAAACAAGTCGAACACAGAGCACTTACGCAATCCATTGCTTTCCATTCTACTCGAAGTGTTCACCGTGTCACCGAAAAGGCAATATCGTGGCATTTTTGAGCCTACGACCCCGGCCACTACTGAGCCGGAGTGCATTCCGATGCGCAGTTTGAGCTGATCGTTTGGTCGATGTCGTATCACGAAGTTCTTCACTTTGTGCAGCAACGCCAAGCTCATCTGTGCGATCTGCGATGCATGGTCGTCCCTTCGCTCCGGAAGACCCGACACCACCATATAGGCGTCACCTTGAAAGTATCCCATAAAGTAATAACCACCTCTTATTTGGGACGGAGAAAAGCAGTAACAACAAAAAAGTTTTCTTGAAAAAGAAACAGTCTATCTTCTCTGCTCTATCGATTAAGGGATTCGTAATTTGATAGTGAATAATGCTGGAAAGCCCACCTATGGTTTCTACCTTGTACACCTTGAAGTTGTCCACAACACCGTCAAATGCGAGGTACAAGTCGTTGAGCAGAGTGACAACCTAAAGAAGGCAATAGTTGGTATTAATCAAGGATGACCAGAAATCAGGTCATTTTAACTGACCTGAAGGGGTGTTGACTGTGAAGATAGGGCAGTGAAGCCGACAATATCGGAGAAGTAAATTGTCACCGAGTCGTACGACTCCGCTTGCACTGCTTTTCCCGAAATCAGCTGAAAATAATTGCTGAAAGCACGCAACACTAACGAGCAAACCTATGAGCCAATTTCTATGGGCACCGTTTCGAAATCCATTCAAATAAATTCAGCGATACAACTGCCTCACACCAACGTATTTAGAAAATCAACGCCAGATACATGGAAGATTTCAATGTGAAAGCATTTTGAGGAGTGTTTCCAACTCCTTTTTACGCTCTCAAGTTAAAATTTCTTGCATGTAAGCATTTGAGCGAAGATGTTTTCGGAAGGAACTACTACTGTTCCAGTGAGAAAGGATACATGAACTGAGAGCAAAGAAGTTGAGGGGCAGGCTTATTGCTTTCCCATGTCAACGGTGCGATAGTGCCCGGGTTGTTGATAGTATTGCAAATGTGAACTTCGAGGATATCGCACTGCTGATTCTGAGCCCGAACTTGTTAGATAATCCTAACCGTGGTTTGATTAATGCAAACTAAGTTTTCTTCAAACCGAACCTGATCAGCAATCGAAGGCGGTAACAGTTGGTGCAGCAGATCTTCGACTTTTTGCTTCTCCGCCAAATACTCTCGTGTTCTTTCTTCGACGAGCCCTTCGAGATTTTTCGCGTAAAGTTCGAGACGCTTCAGCAGATTGTCAACAAGATTGGATGTTTCGTTGTCCCTTAAAACGGCGATGTGTTATTATCTTCTATACTTTTACCCCGATAACCGAGGAGCTGAAGAATAATCATATTAAGAGGATACACTAAGCTCACTTGTTCAACATCCGGACTGCCTTCCGTATCATAGAAATGTCAGGACGATCATGACTATCTTCTGCCCATGAGCAACGCATTAATTCCAGAAGACTCTAAATCAGCAGCAATTAATCGGCAACATAACAATCTGCGATTGAATTTTACCTGATTGATGTCATCGTCGGCATCCATACTGTCAGGAATGTACGGACGGAACACATCTTCGGGACTTGCCACCGTTNGTTTTCTTCACACGTTGTACAATCTCTGCAAATAAATCACTCGAGGAAGGTCATGAATCCAAAAATTTAATCAAACTTGAGGAAATTCATATTTCTACTTGTTCGAGAGAACACTTGGTTTGTGCAAAAGTCAGCGGTGAACGATAAATTTTGATCATCAGATGCTAGCAGGAAAAATCTTGAGTGATGCTACTCACCGTACGGAGACAAGTTTTCGTTTTTCACTGGAAACACCCCGTTCCTCCATAAAACCTCATGAAGAATGATTGCAAATGAATAAATATCGCCTTTCTGAGTGCCCATCGGCGGCGGATTGGGGTTTCGTAAGAGCTCTGGAGCCGTCCACAACAACTCTGAATAAAAAGTGCTGCGTAAGCCATTGTCACAAAAGAAAAAAGGATTAAACTGAAGGAAAATTTCAGTATACAGAAAAAATATCATAAAAGTGCTAATGAACGTACATCCATCTAGCTCATAACAACTTGTGATGACACAGGGAGAAAAAAACTGAGCAACAAAAAGATTGTGTAGCTGGACTCACTTTTGTAGAACGCGTGCTCTCCGATGTCGTCTATGGTGTTCTCTTCCATGGCGTGGAGACCGTGCAACCCGAAATCAGTGACCTAAAGATGGTAAGCAATGGTTGAAATTTGTAACAAAAGATGCTGAATAAGCTAAGAAATAAACAACACTGCCAGTAATGAAAATTCGGGATCAAAGGAAACTGGCGAACCCAGAGAATTTGAACACGTGAACTTCTCGGGAATTAGAAAGAAAACAACATAAAAACTCCGACTTGAAATAACTGCTCACTTTGAGGACAAATCGACTATCCACAACACAATTCGATGACTTCAAACGACCATGTGACCGAATTTCACTGTTGTGCAAGAAATAGAGACCCTAAATTGAAAGCTAAAAACTTCAAGAATTAACAGAAATTCTCTGGACCGCTTCTCACTCGAGGTTCGATTTGGTAAGATATACAACCCAGATTCCCTCTAGGTGACATACTTTCTTCTGTATGAGCGGTTGCTCGGTAGAAGGAACTGATTACCGAAGGTTTAGGTAATAGGTTTACGCGGCAGAATAATTCAGCCGGATGCGTGTATCGCGTCTGTGCTCAAAGTCGCTTGGATATACAAGAGCAGTCCCAAAAATGTACCCGTGCGTAAGGGAGATTTTTATGTGGCTTCAAAGAAAGGTAGTTTCAAATGGGCAACCAGAACACCAGATGATAAAGGATTTGAAGCAAAACCTCACCTTAACTAAATCATGCAGCAACGAGTATTTCATCATGTTGTCTAATTTGATCTGTTCATTCTCCAGGATGTCCTCCAAAGAACCCTTGGGACAGTACTCGGTAACTATACACCAATGGGGAGCATCGAGACAAGCACCGGTAAATCTGAAACATCGATGCACTTTGAAGAGTTGTTTACGAAATGGACGAAGAGACCATACGTAAACATCGCATTCAACTCGGTGTGCTTTGAACCTATGAAAATGACTGATACAAGAAGAAATCACGACAAGCGCGTACCTCGTGATGTGGTCGTGTTGAAGGTCCTTCATTTTCTTCAGCTCCATCAGTTGCGCTCGCGACAAATCTACTTTCGGATACTTTTTCTGATCGATGTTTAACTTCTTTATGGCCACCATTATACCCTAAACAATCCGTTGCAACAATGTAAACAACAAAATTGAAGTATTACAAATGCTAAAACAAACCTTATAGAACGCCGTCTTCGTGTAAATCTGTCCGTTGTTCTGAGCAATCGTTTCACCTGATCCACCACTCTGTAATAGTTTCTAGCCTTTTCCTATCAAGCAAACTAAAGTCAACATGACCCCTAAGTCTGGGAATGATTCAACCCACCTTGATGGATCCGAAAAACGAAAGTTTACGATTCCGCAAGCTGAGACTCTTTTTCGCCGAAATTTCGAAATCATCTTCAGCGCTGCTTTTCTTTTTACACTCTGGAATTTGTACTTGATGAACAAGTTAATCAACAATTAGATGAACAAAGCAAAAACAAAAACAGGGACTCTGAACAGTGAACTAATCAGCAAAATTTACCATTTTGAGTCAGCAAAACTCAAGTTATGCCTTGAAGTCTTGGTAGAATAAAAATGAGGAAAAGGAGACGTGATGCCCATGCATTCTCTAATGCTCTCCTTACTCTTCGAAAAACATCTGCTTTTGCTTCTTTATTGCATGGCGAATATATGGACCATATTAGTTCGGACTCATTTCATGGGGTAAACTCTTGGCGGGTAACTCAATCGAATTCATTAGGAAAGCAAAAAAAATTGAAAACCCACCCGAATCTCCAGACGGTGACGAAATGCGCCGATCATTTTGCAGTCGGAAATGGACTTCATTCATAGGAGAACATTCGCCTGACTGAAAAAAGTGAACTGCTACATTTCCCATTCGAACCATCTCATACATTTGCTTTTAATCCAGGTTCCTATAGGTGGAAATTGGGAAGGAAGGAAAATTCTGCATGGGAACTGAGTTCTTACAGTAACCTTATGTTGAAATAAAGTGCCAGAGCATTGGTCGCAGAGCTTATCGGGACACATGTTT